TAAATAAATAAATAAATAAATAAATAATCTTGGAGCCCCATGAAATTTTGCAACTAAGGCAGGACAGTTGCACCATGAAAGCCTCCCTTGGGAGCACCCACAGTGATGGGGCTAAATTCTATACGTAGGCAAAGAGGGAAAACTGCCTGGAGGCACAGATTTTGGGTTCCATGAAAGAACAGGCAGGCTGCACTTTGCTGTTGTTGTATTTTTATGTGTGGTGCCTCCATGCATATATGCTACCATGGAACCTGACTTGGGCACACAGGTGGGACACTGTTAGCTGCTTCACCTCAGGCAGCCCAAGGACTTGAGCCACTCCTGTCAAGTTCCTGTCCTCTCTGGATTCTTGAAGGCTGTAAAGACCCCCGATCCTACGTTTAAAAAAGCGCAAAAAGCACCCACAACCCTCTAAATATTTTCCTGCACAATAGAAATATGATGTTCTCAAGCTGTGGTTGTTTTTCCCCAGCTATTTCCTTGCTGTCGTCCAGGACAAACGCAAAACTGTTCTTTCCATTAAAGTCATTTAAAACACGGGGGGAGGGGGGAGAGAGGAAGAAACTTTGTGAGGGAAGACCCGCCAATTTAAAAGTTTACAGCCGCTTTCAGCCACTGGGCGCCAGAGCGGGCCTTCCCTCGGCCTGCGAGTGTTGTGTTTTTTGTGCGTGCGTGCGTGTGCCTGTTGGTGTGAGTGTGTTGGTGTTTTCCCCGCCCTTGCCCATGAAGTCATGAGGGAAATATGACATTCCTCTCACAAAGCAAAGAGGGCGAGGGAGGAAGAGGAGGGGGAAAAAGTTAAGCTCGCAGGGGAGAGCCTCGCCTTCCTCCTTGGAGGTGACGGGCGGATCGGAAAGCAAAGCGGGGGCGGCTACAGCGACTCTCCCTCCCGTCTTCGCCGGCCGCCCGGGTGGGCGCAGGCACTCTTTCGGGGAAGGCCACTTCGAGAGCGGGCCGATCCCGGCGCAACAAACCAAGAAGTGAGCGATCGCGGTGCGCCCGGCCCCGCTTCCTCGGCATCGGCCATGGGGGAGGACGGGGTGCAAGCGGAGAGGAGCAGCGCCTACGCCTCAGCCGGCGTCGACGGGCCTGTGGAGCCCAGCAGCAGCCCCAGCCCGGTCCCTTCGGGCAGCCGGAGCCCCAGCCTGCAGCAGCAGCAGCCGCCGCCGTCGGCGGCACCCGGGGGGGAGGCGATGCGGGACAGCTCGCAGCAGGTGAACGCCATCACGGTGCTGACCCTGCTGGACAAGCTGGTCCACATGCTGGACTCGGTGCAGGACAAGCAGCAGAAGATGGAGCAGCGGCAGATCGAGCTGGAGGGCTCGGTGAAAGGCATCCAGAGCGACCTGAGCAAGCTGTGCAAGAACCACACCTCCACCTCCAACGCGGTGGCCAAGCTGCTGGAGAAGTCGCGCAAGGTCAGCGCCCACACGCGCGAGGTGCGCGACCGCATGGACCGCCAGTGCGCGCAGGTCAAGCGCCTCGAGCAGAACCACGCGCAGCTCCTGCGCCGCAACCACTTCAAGGTGCTCATCTTCCAGGTCAGTGGCCGCGCAGCGAGGAGGGGGGGGCGAGGGATGGGCGGAGGGGGCAGAGCGAGGACTCGTCCCCGAGGAGGGGGGGGCGAGGGATGGGCGGAGGGAGCAGAGCGAGGACTCGTCCCCCCCTCCGAGAGAGAGAGAGAGAGAGAGAGATGGGCACCTTGCGCCTGGCGGGACCCTATCCAAATAGGCGCCCAGCTCCACTCTCTCTGGAGTATGAAGGCTGCTTGCTCCACGTGGTTGTTGCGAGGGGGGAAAGGGAGAGGGGGTACAGCCTGGGAAAAGTGGGGTGAAGGCCCCATCATCGCCCACCTCGGTTGGGGGAGTCTGGAAGTTGGAGTCCAAAAAAAGCAAAATTTACGAAGTTGGATGGAAATCGGAAACAGCCACTCTCATTATAGGCCACGAAATCCTGTTCTTCTCTGGAGCCGGGCCTCTAGATCTCATTTATTGCTCACTGGTCTCATTCACAATCTGCTACCTCCACCCTCCCACATTCAGTCTCTTGTCTCCCTAACACTCCCGCACACTCATGGTAAACAGAAGGGAAATGGCTATAATCAGGACTGGCTGGGAGTCACCATCCTCGATGTGATCCTACCAGATGTGAGCTGAGCTTATTCAGCGCATGCTCAGAGGCACAGTTCTGCTCATTGATTCACGTGTTCTGGAGTTGAGCTCAGATGTGTTTAAAAAAAAGGGGGGGCACGTGTTCTGGAGTTGAGCTCAGATGTGTTTAAAAAGGGGAGGAGGAGAGATGAACGTGCTCTGTGTTCCTGCAAGCGCAATCATACATGTCCAATTTTCAGTGCCTAAAAAACATTTCGTTGGTTGCCACCAGATTGAGATAGGTATGAATCATCATAACTCTCAGCTCCAAAATTCCATTAAGTAAACAGAGGCCACATTGATGTCTGGAGTTGAGCTCAGATGTGTTTAAAAAGGGGAGGAGGAGAGATGAACGTGCTCTGTGTTCCTGCAAGCGCAATCATACATGTCCAATTTTCAGTGCCTAAAAAACATTTCGTTGGTTGCCACCAGATTGAGATAGGTATGAATCATCATAACTCTCAGCTCCAAAATTCCATTAAGTAAACAGAGGCCACATTGATGTGCTCTGGAAAAAAAAATCTGTTAACTGCTGGCACTGTGACTCAAGCTAACCAGAGGTTGGCATCCTACCTATTTTCTTTGCAACAAACGGTTGCTTCTGTTCCCTCAAGTTGTATAGTCATTGATCTAGGGCTAAGGCATTGCCTTATCCTCTGGTCCTATGTATGTTTACTCAGAAGGAAATCCCACTGAATTCAGGCATGCCTGTTCTCAAATACGCTCCGCTTTGCAGCTGTAAATATTCAACGATGAACTTGTCAGTTGTATAAAGAGTGCATTGAGCTTTCAATTCATGATGGCATTTAACTAGGTAGTTAAATTTGTGTAGGCCTTTTTTTAAAAAAAAACACCATGAATTTGTATGGTTTCCTGTCTGCAAATAAATTTTACATGGCTCCTCCCTCCAGAGAAATCTAGGAACATATTTGGACAACTTTCTTCCAGTGGTAGATGGTTCTGACTTGGAAAGTAAGCCCCCTAAAAAGTCACTGAAGTTTTCTTCCTTATCAGATCTTAAATCAAAGCACTGGTTTGAACTTCACCATCTCCTCTTCTTCATCTGGCATTAGTGTGGATAATGTATTTATGTATTTTGCTTAAAACACAGTTGCGACACACACACCCCTTAAGCCGTCGTAAGATGTAGTCTGAAAAATGAAGTTGTACTTTGCTCTCCTCCTGAGCAAATCATTCTAACCTCCTCTTTTTCCTCGTAAGGGTTGTTTTAAAATGGCTTTGCTGCTTGAATCTGCTTTAAGCACTTCTGTTTACTCTGCAGCTATCCCTGTCTGCTGATAAAGCCTCCGTCTCCATTGTGTGCTTACTTACCCGAGATCAGAGCTCTCATTTCCTGGACGACTGTCTATAATTCATTGTTAAATATATTATACCGTGGCCCAGGCAGCACCCGTAAGATTTGATTAGTGGGTCAGTGAAATGAATGCAGTGGTTCCCTTCCAAGGATCATCTTTCTCCCCGAGTTATCACAGCTTCTTCTTCAGTAATACCTTAGTTGATACATAGGTATTCTTACTTTCAGAGGTTAGCCACTATTCGTCACTTGCAGCAGAAGCAATAATAAAGTGTCCTTTAGCATCTTAAAATGAACATAGTTATGAAAGCATAATAAAATCGTATGCTACAACAAATTTTTCAGGCAGTAAGATGCCTGCCACAAAGCCCATAGTGACTGGGTTTTGTTTTTGTTTTTTGTTAAATGTAGCCTAATCCTATGCATGTTTACTTAGAAGTAAGTTCCATGAGCCTTTGTTCCAATCCCAAATATTTTTCTACTGGGTGCAGTGCTAGCTTCACAGAAACCCAGATCTTGTAGCAATGTTTACTCTCTTCAGCTGAATATAAATAGCTCTGTGAGTTCTGGATTCAGTCATAAAAACGGGCCTTCTGAAATTCCATCAGTTTATTTTCCCACTCTTTCATCATCAGAACTTCACGGACACAACTTCACCAGGAGGCAGACGTTAGGCCTGATTAAGCCTCCTGCCCTTCCCCACAGCCTCCAGAAGGGCAGGAGGAGTGAGTACATTAGCCTTCTTTCATCTAAGCAAAGAAGCCAAAGAGCATCCTTAAAAGGAAAGCCAGCCCTTGCCTATGTGTGATCGAAGGTCACCCACGCTGCATTTTAATCACATTCTTATGGGCAGAACACCACTGAAATAGCCATGGCATTCCGGGATACGTATAGAGTGTATATATGAATGGTATTCCAACCTAGTTTGTGTGGCAAATTCTTTGAATGGGGGTGTGGGTTATTTTTTTTAAAGAAATATAAGCACGTTAGGTCTCATCTGAGTTACCTTCCCCCCCACCCCATCGTCCCACCTTGTGCTAGTTGGTGTTACGTGGTGCCCAGATGAGCATGGATGTTGCTGGAGCTTCTGCTTGCACATATCCTTAAAGCCCAACTTTTTTTTCTTTTAACGAGATCAGCCCCTTTTCAAAAAAAATGGTCCGAAGAAAGCAGCTTCAAGAATGAGCTTCTCTCCAGGATTTTTGCTTTCTAGTCGGCGGTGTTGTTTCAGGAGATCAGTGCTAAAGTGAAAGCTTCTGCGTTGAAAAGTTGTTGTTGCTTGGACTCTCCTCCCTATACAAAGTGAATTTTTTAAAAATGAAAAATTCTGCCGGAGGTTGTTGTTTTTTTGAAACCCGGAAAGCCAGGGGCTTGTCACTCTTCATAATCACTGCTAAGCCTTGCGCTATCTGGGTGGCATGAAAAATGCCAATATCATCAGTACACAATCAGGTCCTTACAGGGCAACAAATCCTCCATCTCGCTGGACCCATGTTCTGGTTCAGCAAAAACAGAAACAAAAGTAGAACAGAAACAAAAGTGTTATGGAACCTTATGAATTTATTTTAGCATGGGCATTTCTGTATTACCATCAACTATCAGAGTCTGTGGAAATGGACTGCAATCCATGAAAACTCAAACGGAATTAAATTATTAGTCTTACATCTTATAACAATGCTGTGGTTTTGTTTTTGTTCCTGATTCATTGTTCATGAAAACTTTGTTCAAGTGAACAGCTTCCCCTTGATTCTGGGTTGTATTTTTGTGTTTTGACGCAGCACCAGAATACTCCTAGAAGCAGTTCAGATAGGTACACAGCTACTTCGGAAATTCTTTGTATGAGCAAGTGTTACTAGACTTAAGATCTGGAATTTGAGATACTTCTCATTGTTTGCCAAAACAAGAACTGTAATGACCTATGATTCTGTAACATGTACATAAAACGTATTTCAGAATACATTGCTTAGGGCCTCTGATATACGTAGCTTGGAAGACGGTAGGGAAGATCCCATTTTGAGAATGCCGGTGACATCAAAATAGAGGATATATAAAATAGCACAGTGAGTTAGGTATCTGACTGCAGCGGCTGGGGTTTTTGATTCCACACTGTGCATCACAGGAGAAGAGCCAGCCTGTTTAGCCTTGGGCAAGCTGTCCAGCACCAGAGCACCCCAAGAAGAAGGGAATGGGAAATGATACCTATAAAACTCACCATAAGTTGGAATTGACTTCATAGCATGTTGTTGTTAAAATACAATTGCCCTTGGATTAAATTTTTGTGTGAGAAAAGCTTTCAGAAAAGAATGTATCCCAGTGCAAGGGCAACTTGTAACCAGAGCAAGGGTACGCGTCCCCGCCCCCAAATTTCAGGGTGAGGCACACAAAGGTCAAGACAAGAGGATACATCTATAATGTTTCTCATAGAGATGCTTCCCACCAATTTTATCTACATCATAGTGCTGTGACATGCCTTAGGCTGAAAGATACTGTTGTAAAGTTCTTCTCTGAGCTGTATGGCACAGTGGGGATTTGAGCTCATCAGTCCTAGTCCAGATTTCTAGCCACTGGAATATCATGACAGGTCCTCATCCTGCCAGTAACAGTGTTGGTCCAAGACATTTTGATGCCACAGTGGAGGACAAGACAATGCAGTGATTCTGTGGCTGAATATCATGACAGGTCCTCATCCTGCCAGCAACAGTGTTGGTCCAAGCCATTTTGATGCCACAGTGCAGTGCCACCCTGATTCTGTGGCCCCAGAGTGGCCACCGAGCATTACTTCAACACTGGCAATGGGACAGGTGTCCCAGCACTGTACCTGAGAGTAGAAGGTTCACAGGGAGCGAGTCACATGACACCTGTCGCCCACTCTTGCAGTATCCTGCTATGACTGCTGTCCACTTACTGCTCTGCATGGCACCTGTTTGCCATCTCCTCCAACAAGTTCTGCAATGTAGGGGTGATGGCGGTGGCTGCACCAATTCAGCCATGAGTCATATGAACAGAGCAACAGATGCACATACATCATGCCTTCCCAAACAACACTGTCTTTGTGCCATGTTGGAAAACAACAGTG